CAGTATTTAAATTGGAGAGTTAAGAGTCTCCTTTGGTAGGAACAGGAAATCAGGGAGAGGTGAGCATTTTCATAGGAGCGCGCAGAGGTTTTTCCACACTTAAGGTCTGAATTTCTGTAATGCCTTAAAAAAAAACTCAATGCTGAACTTAAAATAACTGTATTTCCAGAGCTAAACATCCTTGCTTTTTTTTTTTTTTTTAAGTTGCAAAAACATGCCTGTAGAGGACTGAAGATAAACCACAATTAAAATGCAGTGTGGTTTAGTAAGAATAAGAAACAGTGGACAAAACACACAGCTATGTACTGATATTTTAGGCCTACCAATGGAGAAGAGAAAATATTTTGAATGGTCTCAAGGACACATATGAACAGATAATGGGATTAACTAAAAAAAGATGGTAGATAAAGCCAGAATATCAGGAAACACACCTCTGTAATGATCTCCTCCCTTCAAGTTAAGCCCCATTGCTGAAGCCTTTCAAAACTAGAATAGACAACACGTGTAAAACACCTACTCTAGGCAACATGCCTGCATTAAGCAGGGGGCAAGATGAGGTGGACAGGATACGTTTTTTGATCTCTAATTTCAAATACAAAAGAGGAGCACATGTAACAGTTAAAATTAGTCATATACAAACATTATCCACCCTCATATTAAATTACCACAGAACAAACTTATTTCAAGTACATTACACAACAAGGAGTTAATAATAAGCTGGAGAAGGAACAATACTCATCTAGCTTGATTCAACACATGTACATTGCTCATCATGTTTGTAAGAGAACACAAATCCCATCAATTAGATGGTATGTTAACCTCCCTGGTTTGCATTAGTCTGTGACTGATGAGTGGAAGGGCTCTTCAAGAACAATTCCCTGCTGGACTCTCTACGAAGGGTATGTTTGGCGTGTGTGCTTGTATATGGAAACCTTGTGGAGTTTTTACTGCGTTCTAGGTCAAGAAACTCTGAATTTCACATTAAATTAGGGGAGCAATTAGTTGCTAAATTTGTTCCAGCGTCTGTTATCAGTACTACAATACTGATCATTTTCCAGTAACATAAATTTAAAAAATGGACCACCCTCTTACATCATTTAGGATTAGAGTAAGATGGGAAGTGGAAATACTAAATTGCATCAAAGTACGGTAAAAGGAGAAGCCTAAGCAGCAGTAGGAGAATTTTAGTGGCATTTTAACTGACTTTAGATTTTCTCAAATCTCTGTTTCAAAGCCTAGCGTGTTTTTCCCCTCTCTTCATTCTCCCCAGGACAGACTGACCTGATTACCAGCCATACTGACAGTTAATTTTTAAAGCAGTTGTAACGTAGAAAAACAGAGGTCCTGACTGCTTCATTCTAAAGCCTATGATCTAAAGCAAGGGTTTATGAACTGTCTGAATTCATGACACCTGAGAAATCTCAAAATTTCTCCTGGGTCTTGAGGTTTCCACACAAGTCAAGGAAACTACGAAGCAGAGTCACACACAACAAATGAGTCCTTACATTCTGCCATCGAACAAGGTGCGATGGACCACCTATGAAAAAGGTGGTAGAACCTCATATGCTATCCCAGCCATAGATCAGTTTGGGAAGGCCTGTTCTAGTTCAAACAAGAACTAATTCAGGGAAGTTAGAATGTCAGACAAGATAACTATGATTGTTTCTCCTAGCTTTAAAGTGCTAATTTCTAGGGGCTTTACACGTGCTACTTCTTTTTCTTCAAAAATTCCCCTCCACTTCACTGTGATGTAATGCAATTTCCACCTTGTACCTGCCCCAGAAGCATCTGCGTTTCCAGTATGTCCTTTATACAGTTAGATCACACAAGTTCAAACCCATCCTAGAAATCTGAGGTTTGATGGGGAATTTTCAGACTCTGTATTTCCCACATCAAGATAAAACCACAGAACAACTGAGGAAAAACAATACTACATAGTTCATTAATTTCAGGGAGTGCATGATTAGTGTGGCAAATAACAGTCAAGAGCAGAATTCAAAGACACTGAATATTCATATAGTGAAATATATTCATACAGTGACAAGGGAGGAGCGTATATAAGCAGAAAGAAACTGTGGGAACAGATTCTGCTTTTAATGACCACTGGAGTGAGTGTGGAATAATGTTCCGTATCCAACTGGCATTACTCTGATTTTGTTCCTGGTACAGCCCAAGGCAGAATCAGGCTCCTCTGTTTGGTATTTAGCAATATATTACTGAGGAGTAGGATATATTTTTAGCAATATAATACTGAGCAGGAAAATAAGTATGCCTTGCTGCTTTAGAATTTTTATGATGGAGAAGCGTCTGGTACCATGGAACTACTTCTCCCAAGCTGATATTGCCTAAGCTTTTGCTCCAGAAAGCACCTAATACCTTTGTCAAAATCAAGTAAATGAAAGTGCAGCTCACCTCATAGGGGAACGGGGACTGCAGTGAGCAAGGCACAAGCAGCAATCCTGTCCATCAGCGCTGCTCTGCTGCAACTTCTCTACATGGGGCCTGAAGCTCCCCTGATGTAAAGCAGTCCTTCAAGTCTCCAAATCAAGTCAGAAGAAAGGAATAAGCAGGGACTTGTCAAGTGTAGGATGGAGTGGGGAAGCTTTTAGCAGAAGAAAAAAAAATGGAAATAGGAGACTGATGCAGTTTCCACCTCTTCCATAAGATGGAAGCTCAGGAGATCAGTGCTTCCATCTGACAAGAACTTCTTCAGCTAAGAAAAAACACCTCAAACACCAGGACAGCCTTGCTCCAAAATGTCCTGTTTTCACTCAGTAAACATGCCACTTGTGGTTGCTAGGGAGGAAAACTTCACTTAATCTTTAAGGTGGTGTTTCACTGATTCACTCCCATGTTCTCAGACTGCACAAGAACACTTCCACACCACTGACTGCCTGGGCGGCCTCACTGCGACCAACTTTTGCCACCTTCTCTTTCCTGTTTGCCTCCTCCACTGGACAGACGCCCTACACCGCCCCACGCCTGGCCAGGGAGCA